GGGGAAAGTGCAGTGTTTTCCAAAATGTGCGCTCCCTCTCTGCCAGCTTGTACAAGTCACGGCCCGATGCCCGATCGTTTCTGGCAAAATGCTTTATCGATTCATTATTTGCAGTAGTTAATTTCTACAATCATTTTTTTTGATGAACAGATCAAAATTCGAGATTTCTTGAAAACTTGACCCATGGAGCAAGTTCAACGAAATGCTGCACTCATTGCTTTCGATGTTGACCTCATCAAGTATCTCAATTCTTTTCGGTTTTTCAGCATCTGTCTACAGAGAAAATTCTCAAATGCCCTTTTTGCCCATTCGAGAACATCCGGTCTGTCTCCAGTTTCATCACTTAATCATTCAAACTGAAAAAATCTTGGTTATTGTCAATCACAGCTTATCCTACTGTTTTTGTTTGATCACACCTTCTGTCACTAGACAGCATATTTCTTTCCTTACCGCTGGAAGCTTATGATCTTTAGATAGAAACGCTTTTCAACATACATGTAAGTCTACCGTTGTCCTATCAAACTGTTGATTTTTTATATTTTAAGCTAGTATTCTTCTATTTTCCTTCTTGTTTCGGGAGCTTAGCATCGCAGAAGTTATCAGATTGGTCCTGTACTCAGTCGTGCATAATTAATTACAAAAAATTTTCACGCATAGCACATCCTTTGTACGGTATGTTTTCTCAAGTGAATAAATAAGAATCAGGGCCCGGCAGGAGGTGGCATTTCAGAATTTTGGAAACGATATCCTCTTTGAAGCCAAAATTTCTTACGACTTCCCCTTTGACCCTATTTTTGCCCCCCCCCCCCCCCGTAAGTCCCTGACAAACAGATATACACAAATAATAAGATGGGCGGCCTCAGCGCTTATTATAGTATTATAGTACTACCTGGCTTTCCTGGTCCAGCCCGGGTCATCAAGGTTTCAGCTCAATGGGTTCATCCGCAAAGGAATCTATAAAAAAACATAGGGTCAAGATTTGCACAAACATTGACGTTTATATATCTAAGATACTACTCATTTATTAGTCAGCTGCGAAACTTTACAATTTAAAATAATCGATTGCGATTGGAGCGCGCTTTCCGAGGCCGATCATAACGCTGTGAACCATATTTGGGGCTGTATCGAAGCGGTGCCTTGGTGGTTTTGGAAGCGGATTTGAACATGTAGTAATACTCTCGACCTAGTCCACATTTATGTAAAGAAATCCGGGAAATTATGTGAGGGAAGCAGGGAGCCACCCCAGGTGGCTCCCAGGTGGCGCGGGAGCCACCTAATTTCGTAAAACACTTACCATTTTTTGAATTCACATAAGTTTCTCATAATTCTTCACACTTTTTTGCGCTCATGGTCCTGCAACTACACAGCAAATTTGGTGCCATATCGTTCCTTGTGCATTGAAAACGAGCCTATTTTGTTATTTTCCTCTTACAAGAATTGAATTCCCGCCTGCGGGCAGGCTAGCGATCGGAGCACAGAATCTTCACATTGCTGGAATCTAAGTTCATAGGGCAGTAGCATCAACAAGGAATGATGAATAAAGAATGATATGTGCATTGTTTATCGGTAAACAAAGGGGAAGTCGTATTTTTTTTCCCCAAAATACGACTTCCCCTTTGCTTTTTCGGGCCAAAAACGATATCCAGCTTGTGAAAGCGCCACTCCCGCCGGGCCCTGATAAGAATAGATAAAATTAGAGAATTTTGAAAATTTGGTAAAATTTGCGGCGATTATTCGTTGATTTTGAAAGAATGGGCCATAAAAGCAGCAGCTCAAATCGGACCTTTTAGCAACCTGTTAGTAGACATTGTATATTATGTGTATAGAAATGACAAATGAGGATCAAGTTTTATAATAGCTACGAGCATGTTATTCTCTACAGCTTGTCCAACAATCTCAGCATTGTTTTTTGCTTAAAGCCACTAGAAAGTACATAATTTTCTCTTTCAAAAGTGTATTGGATCAAACGTATTGGTTGAGGAAGAGATTTGAATTTTTCTTTGAATGTTTCGATGTGAGATTTATGAGTAAGAGTTCCTATTATGCAAGCAAGATTGTTCCAAGCAGAGGTCTCCGTTCTTCCTCTGCCGTATCTTTCGTGTAGCCAAAAATTGCTACTTGTATCGAATAGAAGATGTAATAAAGAATTTCATCCACTAATAAAGAGCTATATGCGAGCTGCAGGTTTTTCTCTGCTGGATTTTGTTGATATACATCGCAAAGTGAAGTGTGTAAATATGTGCATGGCCCGCTTCCGCTGTTTTCCACGGATGTGAAATCCACAACGAAGACAAATACGAGCAATATGCGAATACAACCGTCATTGCTAGTTACGTATCAACGAGGTACAGGTCCTCTACTTTTTTGTCGAACACTGAGTGGCAATGATACATCGTCAGCTTTTGTTTTGTGTTTTACGCCTGCTTAAACTGTTTTGAGTAGCTTAAAGTGTAATAAATGGATGGAAAAACTTCTTTGGTGGTTGCAGTATGAAAGATTCTGCAATAATCGCCAAATTTCCAATGGAATATCGCACAGTTTGTAGCTTTGACCTGGAAATTGATTTGATATTCAATTTTTTGAAGCTTTTATTTCATTTGACCCTTTGAAGCTGGGTTTAAGACTCGTAAATAAAAGTACATGTATTGATGAATCATCGCTAAAGTAATGGGATGGCAAATGATGTTTTTCTGAAATTGAAGATATTACGAACTATTTTTAACTCTGTGTTGGTTCGTCACTTTTGCACCAAAATCATTGACATCCTTTTTAGAAATGTTAGGGACTTTGCAATCTATATCACATTATGTTATTTGGGTGACTGTAATGGTTTACTATACATACTGTTCATTCAAAACGAGATAATGTCTTACGGGCACTTGGTCGAAGTCTCCATGTGAGATGTATACTTTTTTATAAAACATGGTACGTTGATTCCAAATCTGCTTTCGGTATCTGCAAAGCGCTTCTGGGATGGAATTTATGAGAATTTTTTGAGGAAAAGTTCAAGGTTTTGGCTAAGGTAGAAACGAGTGTTGAGGTCTTTACGGCGCTTGGATGGAGTGACGACTGGCTTAACTATTGGACTAAAGGTATTAACTGCACGAAGCTCCTCGACAATCATGGTCCCATCCGATCTCAGACTACAGTACTGAATGATTTTATTGTAGCTGTGCTCCGAAATTTTTGCGTCAAAAAATACCTATAATTCCCCTCCCAAAGGCTTGCAGATAGCGAAAGCAGAGTCGAAATCAGTTCCATGCTCTATAAAACAGTATGCATTTCCTATTGCAACGGCATTTCGCCAAATATGCCTCCCTTGTTAGTATAGAGTAGAGCTTAAAATCATATCAGTACCAAAACTAATTCTTTCAAACTTTTTACGGCCATTCAGCCAACAAATTTACTTTGAACACTACTAGAAAGCCCAAGATTCTTTTTCTTGAACAAATATTGTGAACGAAAACATCGGAGCAGCGGACATCTGCTTATACAGATTTTGCTGCAATTCTTACAAAATCCTAATATGAGGCAATTTCACCCCTATTTGCTCGCATCATACTCAGCCTTTTCGGCAGCTGGCAAATGACAATCGCTTATTTTTGATTGCTACATTTATTGCAAAAAAATTGCACTTTATTTTGCAAAGGGAGAGCGGATTTTTTTGCAGAGACCTGAGCTGACATGCTATTTTTGCAAAATACTGTGCTGACCGTTTTGTAATAATTCCATCTTTTCCGCTTAAAAGAACTTTGTGTTGATCGGATGTCTCTACAGCGTAAAGCTGTGATTTTTCATTTCACTTTTTTTTTTGAGTTTGTCTGAAATAAATTGAATTGTTAGATAAGACACAAAATATTATAAACCAAAAATATGCAATATCATGTTGGCAGATAGTTTCTGCACACTTTCTTCTTCATCCTGAAGACTTCTTGAATATTACCGACACAATACCTTGGAAATGTGACCTTTACTCATGTTTACCCAACAAATTCGCAACAAATCTAATATCATATTTTTCTTTTTTCCTTGAATTTTTCCTCTACTATCACCACTATGTCTCCATTGGCGGCTATATGATGCCTCTAGCGTCTGAAAGACGGAAAGTGAGATTATACCAAAAAATCAAGACCTTAAAAAATTTGCTTCGAGTAGAAATTGATACCGATATCATGGAAATGATGTGGAGTTTTCCAAAAAAGTTTCAATAATCATTAACATAGGGTATTACAGAAAATAGTAGTAACCAAATCGCAACGTAATATAAAATTTTTTAGTACTGTTAAAGGACTTTTCTTTTGATGCGCTTTTGAGGCAACTTAATAGTTTGCGACCTGCAAAACAATGTGTAGAAACTGTTGAAACTCCCATAAACGTACTACGATGAGTTTTATGAGTTTTTCTTGGCGTCGTATTGCTGCTGCAAAGTCATCGAATTATACGCACGTGTGAACAAAGAAAGGACACTAGAAGTAAGTGATAGCAAAAAGCATCCGATAAGCTCCGTTCGAACTTACGGCAATGAAGAGAAACATCGGGAAATTTCTGGGACTGAGTTTGCGGCTGGTGGTTTGTGGTGACCGTTTACCATCTTACCCTATTTATATTTGTTCTAGAATTCAGAATTTGCCACAACGCTCCTACGAATTCTATCTCTTTTTTCATCACAAAAAAAAATGTTAAGAATTTAATTTTCCCCAACATTATCTACTGAAATTTCTAAATATCACAGTTATACGCTACAAAGTAAATTTCTTGTTTAGTAATCTTTGATGTACTCAGTTTTTTTGTTAATCTTACAAGCAGCTTCAACTTACAATGTCTAGCATGACTCTTGATGAGTCTGATTTTTTTTCTGATTATTTGGGTTCTGTATTTTTTAACTCGCATTGATGTTTTCCTTTCGCCCAAATCTAGAGTGTTTTTCGTTGTATTTACGTCATGCTATATTTGGTTTTTTTTCCGGAAATTCGTCATATCATATCACTTGCTTCTTGCAGATGATAAGCCAATGCGTTCGGTTTGAGCCGAACTGCTTCAACAAAGGAAAATGCAAGAACTGTTACAAATCGAAGGAACAGCATAGTGTGGAATCGCTTGAAAAAGCCAAGGTCAGTGCTTTTTACTTGTTTTTGCTAATCTTCCTAGGGTTCTTCGAATTTTACCGAGCACTTTCTATTTGAATCCTCCACTATTCCATTTGCCGATGTATGTTCCTCGCTACCCTTTGCTGTCCCTCAGTAGAAGATGCTCCAAATAAGTTGGAATTTTGGAAGCATTCATCTCTCTCCTACTGGCTATGAAAAAATGAAGTCTGCTGCCTTTTCATTGTCCTTCTCAGTTTACAACATGCGAGAAACTCTCATTGCTATTGTTTGTCACCGAAGCTTTCTGAGAAAATTACGTCATTTTTCAAATAAGGGAAGTTCTACCCATGTGAATATTGCTCACGAGTGGCACTCAGAGAAAATTGTCCGTTGGAGAAGAATGTTGGAGGCAGAGGGAGTTCAAATGAGAGAAGAGAAATTTTTTAAAACTGGGAAATCAAAGCAGTTTGCAAACTACGTGAGCCGTTCTTTGATAGGGCCCGGCACGAGGTGGCTTTTGGAAAATGCAAAAAACGAATTCCCCCTTGACTTTCCCAAAATTTTAGAAGCTTCCTTTGACCCTAAGCCATTATCCTAAAAAATCTCAAAAAAAACGAAAAGTCGACCAAAAAGCTTCGCAAATTTTATGTCTTTTCGGCCAAAAACGATTGAGCGTCTCTATGAAAAGTTACGATTTTCGAGCAAGTAATACAAAAGGGCGAATTTGATTTATTTTGGCATTTTTCAGGGAAATCATAACCTTTCATAGAGACGCTCAATCGGCGCAAACTTTGCACTGTTAGGAAGACCTGGTGAAAGAACCTACAATACCGACTGCTCCGATTTTTGTTGCAAGTTTCCGATTTTTTATGACCTACACAGAAAATTCGAATTCTGACTAATTTTCTTCTACCGCTCCTATCTATGCAACAGATGATCATTAGCAAACGCTAAGATGCCATTATAAAGAGCATGACTTACTCTTTCTTAAAAAAAACAAAAGCAGTCAAATCAGCTGGAAAAATCAGAAGTTATGTTTTGAATTTGGTGCGAAAGAACTTTCGGTACAACCTAATATAATGCTACGGGTTTAGCATTGGCGGACAGAGCGCCCCCTTCCTCTCCCTCCCACCCTCCGCCCCCGGAATGGACCGCGAAGCTCTTGAAAATTACTTATAGTTTAACGCACGAAATCGCCCAGGCTGAACGCCCGCGAGCGTGTCTCTTGCCGGCTAACCTTGACATTCGCGTACATGAGGCATCATAGCACCGTACTCGCCGCGTTGCAAGCACGCTCACGTGCGTTCAGCTTACAGCGATATGGGCAATTTCGCGAGGTCGACTTTACATACATGGGTAATGGCGCAAGTAGCCTGTTTTTGCAGTTACATAATGAATAATTTTGAAATTTTAAAAATTAAGCTATAAAAAGATACAGTGAAAATTTTTTCCCGCCAGGCCCTTTTTTCTGCATTGATGCTCGCTAAAACTTTGGAAGAATTCCGAATTCCTATCGAAAGGCATAGTTGATGTCAAGCCTCTTCATTCGGAAAATATTTGGCGCCCCAACCTTCGCGAAAAAAACCGGACCGTCACTGATGTCTCGCAATCCAATGTTTGATCACCTCAACATGACTGTCTACAGTAATCCCTGCAATTGACCAAATTTCCACAGTTTTAATTTTAATATTAGGAATGCAATAATCAAAAAGCGCGAAAAATCGTGAGCCATTATGCTTTGTGTACTTGAGCTTAGGTCATTTCAGCACCGTTCAACCCTACGGAGTCAATCTGCACCTTCTTGATTGTTTCTATATTTTTCGACTTTATCATTTTGATCATCCTGCCGTTTTGTGAGTCTACACTTATTATGAGATTCAAGCAGTCGGGACACTAATTCTGTTTCAACACGAACCCAGTTGAGTCGTTGCACTCATATGAGCAAGTTTGAGAAATTTCATGTCGCCACGAAACATTTGTAACCTAATATGTGAGATTGCGCACCATGCGCTTAGCGACGGTATCCTCACTAGTAACTTTCCACTGGAACATTTTCTAGCCTAACAAAGTGAGGTATTGTGTTCCATTGACCAACATATGACCAACAAAAACAAAAGAGACAAGGAAACAAGGAGAAATCATTGAAAATGAGCAGGCTCTAGTTTTGCATTCGTCTCTTAGCGTGTATAGCCCGCATACGCATATTAAGTTACGAATGACTCGACGATATGTGAAATTGATGATGTGTTCCATAAGTGCGGATAAGTATGGCATAATTTGCTGAATGTCTTCTGGCTTACGATTTTCATGAATGCTACGGTTACCTAAAACCAGATAATCACTAACATTTTGTACTGCTATCTCACTAATGGAACAGTTGCTGGGACCTGTATCACATTGAAAAAAAAACCGAAATACCAGCCCCGTCGCAACTTAGCAGAATGACCGTAACCCTACAGACGTCGGAAGCAGATATCATCATAATCGGAGCAATCATTCATACCAGTAGCAGTTTGAGAAATTTCTTGCGAGATGGGAAGGGATGGAGTGCCAGAGAATTTTTTCAGAATGAAGGCTGCTGGCGTTAGCCACCCTTTCTAAAAATTGTTTGGGATGTTTGGTATCTAGTTTAACGACTAGTTTATCGTGAGCCTACAAGCCCGGCCCCGAAATTTTTCTTACAAAACTAATTCGATTTTTGAGTATATTCTGATTCCCTACCAGTGGGAACCAGTCGCTTGCATAATTCTATAGCCGAAATAGACTGCTTCCAAAAAATTTCGCTTCTATTCTCGGGGGGGGGGGGCACTGGTTAATACTCAGAAATTCTATATAGTGCTGCCAAGTTTCTTACTTGGGTGTTTTTTCCCTTCTCAAGAGCACAGTCCTCCCCCTCTCTCATTTTGAATTGAAAATGGGGTTTAAGATCCAGCCATCATGTTTGACGGTAGATTTGATTGTGATATATGTGGGTTTGAAAACCTGAAGCACAGAAATTGTCTGTTAAGGCAGCTTCAATTTTTTTTGTATGTTAAGCCCATTAATGATGGTCAGCCCACATTTGCTTTTGTTCTGACTCCTTAAATAGCTTCACTATGTCCTCTATGCTCACAAGCTTTGATAAATTAGAAGCGCTGATGCCTTCTCTTCGTCTACTTCTCCCTCTAGTTTCCTTCATGCGCGGTTTTGCGTTTTACTGAAGTTCCCACATGCTAAAGTGACTCTCCATGTTATTTGCAGCACTTTACAGCAATATAAACCACAGTTGTCATTCTCAATTATTACGTGAATATTCGAAGGTCAAAAGTGGAATTTCGTGACGTCTCGAACTATTGTGACGGCAATGAAAAAAACATGAAGACTCACGAGTTACATTTTCTATCATGCTGAATAGCAGTACGCTCGTTCAAACTCCACAGCATGATTTATTCACAAATCTTTTGGTATTGTTACAAGTTCTGCAACTTCTCTCTCAGATTTTTCCAGCAGGTTCGGTTCTCATATCTTCAAAGCATATGTAAGCGGTAGAAAAGCCCTTCATCAGCCCTTAATCTAAAGTTTTTTGCACAAGTTTTTGCCTTCAAAACTCCTGTGATTTTGTGATGTATTGGAGGAGATGTAAATGAGTCACAAAAATATTCACCCTCAGCGTGCTCCAGCATTGTGAGCGAAAGCTTAGCACCCGACTTTTATTGACAGCAGCTTAGACCCAAACTATTATGGTTTCTGCTCCTCTTGCTGTAGAAACGTTACTAAGTCTTACGACTTCAAGTTCACGTCATATATTTCAGCTGCGCACGAATATAAAAATCTTGAACACCTTCTCAACGCCTTTTCCTGCCAAAAATTTGCTGAAGCAGCTCTTCGCTGAGCACTGTTAACTGTGAAAGCCTGTTCCAATCTTGCGAGACAATTTTCGCGCCGACAAAATCGGACAAAAAATGCTTTTGACAACAGTTCTGAACCATGAAAATGTGAAGACCTGAAATTCATGGTAATCTGATCAAATGGTATCATTTTCTGAGGAAGTTGGAGCAGAGTAATGCAAAAGATAAATTATAGAAATTGTGTAATTTGAAGCATTGAAAAAAAACTTTTCTCCACAGAAGGGCTAATTTAAACTTTTAAGAAATTCTAAAAAATGTTTCAATCATTGACAAGAATAAACTAGTCAAATAAACGTGCACTTTTTTATTATCCATGTAAGTGAATTTCGAAAATCTCGCGACTCATTCTCGGGGGGGGGGGGGGGGGAGGGGGAGCTTGGTCCGCCATTATTTGATTTCTATTCTGAGAGTATAAGAAGCTCTAATCTAGGCAGTAAGAGCGAGATGTTATGGAGAAATCGCTTTTAAAGATACCTCAGAAACATAAAGAACCGCAAGGTCACAAACACATAATATTTCCAGAAAAACAGATATTATTTGGGGCAAAGTGGGGAGAAAATAGAAGAAAAAATAAGTTTCTAAAAGCTACGTAGTTTGTTTCATATAAGGATAGAGGAATTTTGAGAATGGAATCTCTCTGCAATTTGACAACATGCTATAGGAAGATTTTTACAGAAACATTTTATGGGGTGAATAATTTAAACAATGATATTATATCAGTTGATGTTTTCCAGCATTATTTTGAAATGAATGACGTATCCGTAAGAAAAAGGAACCGAGTGAAGCTCAAATTCAAGCTACGAACTGCCCACCAATCAGCCATTTGCTGAATCTTTTAGCGTTTCTTCCAGAGCTGAGAGGCGCGCTGGTCAGTCGGGCGGGTCGTACTTGCTCCGAATTAGGCTACATCCGCATTTTGCTCGTAATTTTCGCTAATTGCATTAGTTGCATGCGTTTTTTCCTTGTTCGTGCGCCGATTGAAGAAGTGCATTTGCAGACGCACAACGAGATTACGATTACGGTCACGCGCGATTACGGTTACGCGATTACGGTTTTGCAGTCAAACCACGACGCACACAATTGGGTGACTGCTGCAACCTCGTCGAATCAGCTCTTCGATTCTGCTAATCACAAGCT